CCCGGCAGGGGTTACCGAACCCCATCCCACAAACACCTAAGAAACAGCGACAATTTTCAGCGACTATGACTTTCGTCCAAGGATCCCAGCAGCAAGAAAACACTGCAGGCGAGGCCTTGATGGAGAAGAAAATGAGCTGATTATAAACCCTAAATTTGCGACCGGCGGAGAAAGCAACGGGCGGGTGACAAACTAAGATATCCAACAGTATTTCAACAGCTTTAATAAGACACTCAAACACCAGACTAAAATAATTGAAACAGTGAGGGTAGAGATCTAAGAACTAAAAGCTGAATAATAACTCCTGTAAATCTATAATAAGGAACTGCAGGAAGAAATCCAAGCCCTACAGGCCAAATTAAAGATACAACTGCTGAACACCCCCGTGAACAGATCCTGGGCGGAAGTGACTGCTGGCAACCCTCAGCCAGACCCAGTGAGAACTGTCCTGCGCCCCAGGAAGAAATCCAACTATATCCAAATTAATACTGTACCAACCCTTAATTAAGATATTAATAATGACTGATTCTCAAGAGCCCTTTCTACTAAAGCAGCGAATATACATATCAGGACTATTCTGTTAAATGCAGAGACTACCAGAGAAGTGCATATTACGGGCATTAATACTACTAAAACAAGGTATGTTATTTAATTCCGGGATATCTAATCTGCGGAGACAGCCCGGAACAGCACCGAGTAACTAAAAAAGCTGGAAAATAATACTAAAGTAATAAAACCCTGGTTTGGGATTATGGTTTACCGAGTCCCAACTGAGAACTTTAAACTAGAAGGATACAAGAAACAGGAAATTGAGAAGATTATAGCTGAGAATAATCTCTATAACAAGAAATTCCGGGTTGAAGATATTGCATGGTTAAAGAAGAGAAACATACCTCTGGGGAAATCTGTCTTATTAGAAGTCTGGCTGGACTCACTGGAGGCAGCAGAATGGATTATTAATAACGGACTACTAGTAAAGCAAAGATTTATCAGGAGTGTGGAACCTTACCAGATAAAAAAAAAGAAATATCACTGCTACTAATAATTTAGCCATCTAGCCTGGTCATGCAAGGAATGAGTAAAATACAGATATTATATAAGTTATTATGACCAGCGTCACTGCTTCCCAGGAATAAGACCCAGATGCTCAGACTGCAATGGAGAGTACCCAACAGACAACCAGGCATGTCAGGCATCCCCTAACCCCAGTCCATTCTAATGACAGCAAACCTTCGCATCTTACAGTTAAATATCATGAAATCGAGGGCAGGGATGGAAGCCCTCATCAATGATTATTAAAGCTAGAACCTGGACCTACTTCTAATTCAGGAACCGCCAAAGACAGCATACCACACCCACGTTAACCACAGTGCTTGGCGACTCTACCGGCCGACACACCCGGAAATACCTCGGTTCCGCAGCCTCCTCTATATCAACCGGAAGATCTCCACATCATCACACCACCAAATCCAGTATGGTCACCCAGATGTAGTAGCCGTTAAGATCTGGACCCCAGAGCTCCAGTACCTGGTGTTCTCAATCTATATCCAGCCAATCGCGTTACATGACTCATTTGAAGCGAACAGCGCACGCGAAATTTTGGCAGAAATCCAGCAAACCATCCAGGAACAAACAGAGCAGAGCGAACGCACAACAAAAATTATTCTGGCCGGAGACTTCAACCGCCACCACCCAGCATGGAGCCACCGTGCGGTACATCGCGGCTTCGCAGAACATGCAGACGAACTAATAAATTTCTTTCAAGACCACGAGCTGCAATAGTGCCTGGCCCCAGGCAAGACGACATTCTAATCCCTGAACAAACCTGGGACAACTTCAGTACTCGATCTCATACTTACTAATAACATGACACGGCTGATCAAATGCCAACTTTATCATAACCACTATGGGTCTGACTACAGGGGCACATACTCGGAGTGGAGCCTCCAACCAGAGCAAACTAGGAAGCCCAAACCAAGAAGAGCGTACGACCGAGCAGACTGGGCACGAGTAGGCCAAACAATAATAAGGTCGATTAACCCACAATTGAGAATTCAATCCGAGCAGGACCTAGATCAGGCGGTCAACCATCTGATTCAAACTACAATAACCGCGCTCGACCAGCATGTGCCAGTACAGGCCCCATGCCCATACTCAAAGCGCTGGTTCACAGCAGATCTCAAGATCCAACAGGCGGAAGTCAATCAAACCCGCCGGAGGTGGCAAGACAGTTATGCCACTCTTAGACCCAACCACCCAATAATAAAGACAATATTTGCAGAAATGCGCGAAAGAAGATAAAAATGGATAAGAGCAATTAAAAAAGCAAAAATAAGCTACTGGAGGGAGTTTCTTGACAAAGCAGGCAAAGACTATCTATGGAAAGCAGCCATCTATATACGCCCACGAGATGCTTATACAAGCATTCCAGCGATTAAAGTGGGCACGGAGGAGATAATTAACAACTAAAGGAAAGCAGAGACGTTCCTTGATTCCTTCTTTCTAAAAAGGGCAGAACCTGAAGTGGAAGTAGAAAACAATCCCACAGAAGAACTGCCATGGGAGCTAATCACTGAACAGAAGATTTACCAATCACTCCGAGCTGCCAAGGGAACTACGGCCCCAGGTAAAAATAGAATTCCCACGCTTGTATAGAAATATCTGTAGGTATACCTGAAAGAAATGATTACCACAGTCTTCACCAAGTCAGTGGATCTGGGCTACTATCCCAGACAATAAAAACAGGCGCGGATCATAGTGCTGCGGAAGCCGGGAAAGCCAGACTACTCAGCACCAGGAGCATACCGACCGATATCACTGCTAAACACGCTGGGGAAGCTACTAGAAGCTGTTATGGCCCGACAACTCTCCTACTGGGCGGAGAGATTTAAGCTACTCCCGGACACACAATTTAGAGATAGACCAGGACGTAACACCGAGCAAGCTCTGCTGGTACTGGCCAACGCAGTATACCGAGCTTGGGAACAGTCTAGGGTGGTAACGCTGATCACGTTCAACCTAAAAGGCACGTTCAATGGAGTCCACCAAACCAGCCTCGACACTCGGCTGCGAGCTAAAGGCATCCCACCAAAGGCCCGGCAATGGATCCGCAGCTTCATAGAAGACCGCCAAGCGAGCGTCACATTTGATAATTTCGAGAGTAAAAGTCTACCACTGGAACATGCCGGCCTGGCACAAGGATCCCCACTCTCACCGATTCTATTTGGATTCTATAACTCAGACCTGGTGGACCAAGTGGTAGACCAAAATAGCAACACATCAGCTTTTATCAACGACTATTTCCGCTGGCGATCCTACCCAACAGTGGAAGAGAACATCAAGAAGATCCAGGAAGAAGACATCCCCCAAATTAAAAAATGGGCGCGGCGAACGGGTGCATCCTTTACCGCCGAAAAGACTGAATTAATTCATCTTACCAGGCGGAAAGCGACCCACGGAAGAGAACAAATTATCATCAATAGCCAGCCTACCAAACCGGCCGACACTGCGAAACTTCTTGGAGTGATCTTTGACAAAGAGATGCACTGGAAGAAACATGTCCAGAAAGCGGTTAAACAGGCAACTAAAGTGAACATAGCCCTGAGCGGGCTCAGACACCTCCAACCGGAGCAAATGCACCAGCTATACCAAGCATGCGTAACACCAATTCTAGACTACACATCCACAGTCTGGCACAATCCGCTCCAAGACAAGATACATCTACAACTTCTGGAGACAGTACAGAAAACAGCTCTTATCCAAATCCTTTCAGCCTTCCGGACAGTATCTACGGCTGCACTCAAAATTAAGTCCTATATCCTACCAACTCACTTGCAACTCAAGCAGCGGGGACAAATAATAGCTGCTCGCTTCAGCACCCTGCCAGCTGACCACCCAGTTCACGGAGTAATCAGCCGAGCAAAGGAACACAGCACTTATATCGGCAGCGGGGCCCGCTTTCCCCTAGCCGAAACAATGCGAACCATGGACCTTGGACGGCTGCAGGCCTTGGAAACAATTGACCCCAAACCACACGCGCCATGGCGGAGCCAACCCTTTACGGAAATTGAGATTGAGCCGGATCGAGAGAAAGCGCAGGCCAACGCACTGGCGCAGCAATCCACAACAAGCATCACGGTCTTCTCAGACGCTTCAGGCAAAGAGAATCAACTAGGGGCCGCAGCAGTAGCTCTCGACCACAACCAGCAGATAATGGGGTCACGACAAATCAGTATCGGCTCAATGGAATACTGGTCGGTCTACGCGGCCGAGCTCATGGCAATCTACTATGCGATCGGACTGGTTTTTCAGCTAGCGCAGAAGCATGCTACGACAACTGCGACCCAAGGCCCAGCGACAATCCTCAGTGACAGTATGTCTGCGCTGCAAGTAATCGCCAACTCATGGAACAAATCGGGCCAGCGAATCATCCAAGCTATCCATCAGTCAGCCGCAGAACTAAAGGCACGAGGAATCCCACTGCGATTACAATGGGTCCCGGGACACTGCGGCGATCCTGGGAATGAAACGGCGGACCGTCTGGCCAAGGAAGCGGTGGGCGCAGAAAACAAACACCCTTTCCAGCATCTGCTATCGCGGGAGAAGGCTTTCATCCGCAACAAGATCAAAAATGAATGGGAACAAGAATGGAAGACCTAAGAACGGAGGGCACCTCCGACGCGTGGATCAGGCACTGCCCGCGTGCCGCACGCGCCGACTGTACGGCTCACTTCCCCGCAACCGAGCCTACCTGCTGGCGCAACTTCGGACCGGCCACTCGTGGCTCGCCACCTATGCCAAGCAACATGGCTTCCGAGATAACGAGCAGTGCGAATGTGGAGCGATGGAAACCGTGGTCCACGTATTGATAGACTGCCCGCGGCTGAGAGCGCTACGGCAAGAATTAGGGCGGAAAATCGGAGGCGGGTTTAACAACGTTTCAGATATGCTAGGAGGAGCAGGCCAAGGTAAGGAAGGTAAGTTGGAAGATGCCACGCAGAACGGTAGCGTCCTAGGGGCGGTACTGGATTTTGCAGAGGCGTCGCAGAGATTTCGAAGTCGCGCGCCACGAGGGCGGCAGAACAGAACACCAGGCAACGGCCAACACAGGCCTTGACGAGGCTCCAAGTTCGTCAGGAAAGTAATAGTCTACAGTTAATGGATGTACATAGTGAGTAGATAGTGGTTCCCTGCATATCGCCTTAAGGCGAGGGGCCAGCGTATGAATCATCATCATCATCATCACTGTAGCGCGCCATCTCCATCTAACGTGGCCGGAGAGGGCTCGGAAATATTCAATCGAGCGCAAACCCAGAACGAAAGAATCTCTGCGGACCAAATACCGGCTTCTGGAGAAAGACATAAGACGACACCGCCGCCCGATTTGCAAGACGCCATCGCGGCTCGGACGTCAAATCCCCAGGAGACTGGGCCGTGGCCAGCACAGGACTCGGCCCAGTCCCATCTCGATCAGCACCCCCACTCCTTCCGAGCATCGTTCAGACGATCCAAGCCCTCTAGCGATGCGGGTGATGAGGCCACCGGCCCCTACACGCGTCGCCCGTCCGCAGAGCCACAGTCGACTCAGGGTCCGAAATTGACCGTCCAGTCCCCAGCTAAATGTGCGCACCGTCGCGGGTTTGAGGCGCATTGGGTTCGTAAAGGTCCGCGGGATCACTCCGGTAAGAGTATGCCCCATGCGGCGGTCGAAGCAGTCTGATGTAATGACAACCTTTTTGTTACAGGGTATGAGAAAGAACATGGAGTTCCGTCTCGGTCGTTAGTTGCACCTTCCAAGATCGATTTGCTGTGGCAGTTAATGTACCATATCTCCGGTCGCATGAGGCAGTTGACACAAGCCGAGACCAAGACGCGCGGTTGCAAAAGAACTCTCCGCGATGATGGTCCCGCATGGTGGGGCAAATTGTACTGCCCGCTTCTTGTTCCCTGCCTATTGGCCATTGGGCAATTCAAACAGTCTTTATCCGTCTGCGGCAAGGATCCTGCAGATCGCTTATCTTCCTACTGTGAGACCCCCTCCACGCTGCCCTGTAACGCAGGGTGATGAGTTGGCTGAGGACGTTGGGACACAACATGTCATTTTGTGTGGTCGGTACAATTGTGATCTGAGCACAGGATGCAGCAGAAATCGGGCGTTAGGGCTCTCTTGGTACGTGGCGCTGCGCCTCCTGCTCTTCCAAGTCTCCATGCTCCAACCCATTTCTCCCCTCTACTACATCATTAACTCAGCTCATGGAGTACCTTGGTTTTGTCCAAGATTAGCGGGTCTGTTGATACCTTCATGTCTCCTGGGCCGGTCAAAAAGGTCGAATCTACTCAATGCTCTCGAGTTGATGGTGTTTATATATATCCTATATATGTATGTGACCGTCACATACAAGACTATTGATACACATAACCATCAATCACAAGCGATAGGGCTCACATTTGTAGTTATCTATGGTAATAGGTTAATAGCATATATAGAAGCCAATGGTTCTTGCTTTACGCCCTAAGCCCAGAGGTCGAAACCTGAGGGCAAAAATATTCGTTCGGTGAGCATTCAGATTTCCCAGGCGGGCATCCAGTTGAACCCCTGAAACAACTTCCCGAAAAGGACTAAATTCGGTCCTTCCCGAGCCCCAGCAAATGTTTCTGGCCCAAGGCAACAACAATCAACCAGAGGGCCGGACCAGAGGGCGGTGAAGAGACATGCTTACCTGGGTAAATTTGCATCTTCTGAACGGATCAACGCCCCAGCAGATCCCCGTGGCACACTCGCGTACCCAAAGACAACAGTATACCAACTTCACTTAACCATGTCTACTCGGCAAATTATCTCACCGTTTCTCCTTTCTTTTCACTATCTTTTGGCCATTCTTCGCCCATTCTCCCACCCCTGGTCTCCAGATCATATAGCTCCTCCACTGGGTGGTCTCACAAGACATGGCTAGGCACTTAAAAAGAGTTGCCATCATATTATTAGAAATGCATGATCACATTCAGCCCGGTCAATTCCTCTTGAGCATGGAGCCGAGTCATACTGCGCCAAAGCCAACGCAGGATTAGGGAATTCAGATCTTGATACGCGGTGAAAAGATGTCAACATAATAGAGCATTATGTGCATTACAAATTAACCTCCAGCCACAAGCAGGGCATTCTGGGTCTTCAACCGCACACAAACACAACCCCACTGGTCACTATTATAAGACTCATCACGAGAGCTAGAACAGCAGTCTTATCGGATAATTTACCCATTTCCAAAATATCAGGCTCCCAGATTCCCAGATTATGGATTTGCCCAGGTATGGCTAGACTACCTCATTATTACGAGATCTCCGCCCCACACAGTAACAAGACGGGCAATCTCCAAGGCCTTATTATGCATGACCCGTTACCAAGGTTGATATCTGTCGAGCGGACCATCTGAAGGTATTCAAAAGCATCTAAACTTAGAGTACAATATACAACAAACAATTTATTTACCAGACATACACCGACTCGCACACTGCTTGTCCAAAACGAACTGGAGGAAGTTACCCAGGACTCGCGACATCATCTGCATCATTATTCAAGACCAGGATATACTACTGTACAGATGGAATCAATTCTGAGTGAATACTGTATACATTGTACCACAAAATCTAAGCTAAATATTGTACATGACTGGCAGCGGGCATTGACAGATACGGACCTCCGTTCCATACAGGCCTCAATTCCGCCTGTGATACACAATATTGCACCAATGCTGGAAAGAACCGACAGCATGGCGCGAGCAGATCTTGGCTTCCTTACATCATAACAAGTAAATATACTCTGGCAAGTACTAGTCCCCAGCACCGCGTAGAGATAGCTGCCCATAACTAGGATATCTCAGAACAGGGTCCTAAGAACAGAAAGAACCTGTTCATCTGGGAACAGTCCAGGGCACAGGTGATACAACATGGGGCCCATGGCCATGAAGGGGATATCTCCGGAGAGATTGATACTCAACAGGCCCACCACTCCTGTCAGGGGATATCTCCGGAGAGATTAATACTAAACAGGCCCACCACTCCTGTCAGGGGATATCTCCGAGGAGATCATACAACACAGGCCTGCCATTCCTGTGAAGATGCACACTGTTGCGCTTACGCATTCCAGTGAGTGAGGACAGGAAGCCTGGTCCTGGAGCAAACAAGACTGGAAGACGCCGGCCTTATATCTCCAAGCGCTCCGGTCACCCGGCAAGACCAACCGTGCAGCATTAGCATCCAGCCTCGCCAACTTCAAGTACCAGAACCGTCATGCGGTCGAGATGGACTTCAATGGTCATTCAAGTGCAGGATAGGTATCTGGCCATCTCTGCGTGTACTCCCTCCTACCAAATACGCAGGGGCACATGGTGACCTTAAACGAAGAGCAAATCCCGAAGCCATCTCCCCAAATGACCATGTACGTTCAGGCTTTAGCTCAAAGACGTGAGGGCCCCAGTAAAAGACGCCGACTGGGGAAAAATTCGGCGTGGGCATGGGCGGGCAGGGCGAAGATGTGTGCGACTCATGGGACGGCGCCGTTGGTCAATAGGCGTCTCAAGTACACAACAATACTTGGAAAATGGTTCCAGATCTGACCAGTGGGCTCAGTGGGGGCCACTTGGAAACAGTTGGGCAACCGTGGTCCGACAGAGCACAATGACTACCGATTCCTCCCTTTGTCGTAGTACTTTCCAGTTTCTAGAGCACCGGTGCCCAGTACCCAACCGCTGTCGACTTGGGTAATCCACTGAGACGTCATTTTCCGCGTAATGCTCTAGAAGTTGCCCAAAATTCACCTTGGGAAGCTTCTCGTCCTCCTGATCTTCAGAACGGACAATGCCCCCTTTGAAACTCAATGGGACAAACTAGGATTGTGTATCGAGTATCATTAAAATCTGAATTCCATTACTTTGTATTGGCCTTTTTCATTAGGCCTACTTCTTATTGTCAAAACAGGCAGAAGAGAAAGACCCTTGATGAGAGAAAAATGCACCTGCGCCCAGAGTGATTCCCGGGCTCCATATTATCGTGGCACGGGGAGAAGCGTGACCTCCTAGGTAGCATCCAGTTCCATACGAGGCAACGCCATGGACGAATCAGATGGCATTGCGTCGAGTTGGTAATATTTCTTTGTTTCGCTGACCTGAGTCTAATGGGTTCCTAGGCCACGGTGACCGGCGCGCTCAATTAAGGTTTGTCAGGGCTTTCTTAGTTCCAGCTCCACCGGTGAGGTCTCTTGCTCGCCATTCAGGGGTATAAGCCTTGTAGTGAGTTTCTTTTTTTGTTTGATTCTCGCATATTTCCCAGCTTCGAGGCGTCGACACAGATCTTGTCTGAATGCGCTATTTGTAGTCTTGGAAACACTGCGCTTGCAAGAGAGCGAAGAATCGACATGACCTTCCAGATTACTCTATGGATGGATAAGGCCAGAACGAAAGGGTCAAATCTCCATGTTGGGGTGGAGAATCGCTCAATGTCTCTAGGCAATCTGGCCGACCAGAACCGGTTGTCGTGGTGAACAGAGGGTAACAGTAGCAATATACTGGCTAGTACCGTGTGCTCAAGACAAAATATCTCAGTCATCGAGAGCTTGTCAGTTAGGAGAACAGAGAAAGTTGTCGCTGTGTTTTGCCTTGGTGGATACTGCTATCTTGAGGGTCAGGCGGTTGTGCTCGTAGCGATAGAAACCCTGCACTCTCTAAGATTAATCACACACTATTATGAGTAGTCATGTTGTTTTCAGCTATGATAGTCCATTCTGTTACAGCACCTATGTTATCAACGTCTACAAACATCACCTGCGTTGCTTCTAATTCGGGTCATTTTATTGCTTCAGACAGTGAAGTTCATGCATAGCTGGCTCGGTCAGATAAGAGAATTTTGCGTTAACTCTGTCGATGACTGATGAACTTCTGATCATAACACGCGAGCCCAGTCATAATGAACGTGGTTCTGTACCATCACCTGCTAAACTGCTGAATTTGGGTTAGCCCAGCCAGATGGCCGGGCTCTTGAGGAAAAGCTCTCGTCGGAAGCTTCCGTGCTCGGAAACACCGTCAAATGTTGACCTAGGTCCTCGCAACGAGACTGATGCGCGCGTTCTCCATGGAGGCAATAATCAACCTCCCAAACTCTCTTCATCCCAACTGACTCGGCAAAGTATAATGTTCAGTCGGAGGATGTGTCCATGCAATTGAGTGAGGGCAGTGCGCAATAGGCCCTCGAAGAGTGTCCGTGTGAGGAGTGCGCGTCTGGTAGCTGGGTGAAAGACCTCGCACCAACAAGGTACTCTACCCAGACTCAGTGCAAAGCAGAGCCCGGTTGGGTCAGAAAAGAGTAGGTATATGGTTCGAACAAGGTGCAAATTCCTAAAGATGACCATCCAAGGCTGTGGTCGACTGAAAGCGCGGCTTCCCTGCTGGTAAGCGAATGCTCAAGTGGAGAGACAAAATTGCCCCTTCGTTTCGACTGATTTTCACCGGGCACCGAACCTTGAACACCCTGATTCTACTCCTTCATTTGGCCGGCATCATAATACGGCCTCACGATTAATAGGACGTGTAGACGACTATCTGTTTCTCATCCAAAATGTGGTGGGCCCTTTGAGATGCCGGATTGCGGTCTATTATAACCCGGGCCAGGGGATCTGGATGTCCTATAGACCAGGGGAAAGGGAGGTGGAGCTGGTGGAAAAGAAGTGAAAAATTCCACCGGGTGGGCACGGTCAGGTTTTCCATTCAACCGTCTTCTTTGGAACGGGTACGTGCCATGAGAAATTGCGGGACATTGATATTTGCAAATTGCCCGGGTAGTATAGTGTTCCTAATCAGGCATAGAGCATCACGCTTGGCATCGCAGTACGCGGTCTATAAAGTCACCTTCATAAACCTATCAAAGGCAGCCAGCTTTCGTGCAACAGTGTCCCGTCTTCTAATCATCCTCTTTCTCGAAGCATTAGAAGGGATTACTATTAATATGACTTTCCATTTCCTACGCTTCCCTAGTCCTCTTACTGGAGTGGGAAGGCTGACCCGGTTTGAGGCCGAGTCGACACCTCCAGGCCCAGTGAGGACAAGGTATTGTTGGGGCAGGAGATGTTTCAGCAATAGCCTCGAGCCCTCCTTACAGATACGGGTTTGCTTAAGTGGGAGTTGCAGCAAGCCTGCGTACCTACCAAATGAGAACAAGTGCTCGTTTTGACTTGTTGCCACGAAAAACATTCGCTACGGTTTAGGAGGTGCTTCTACAGGTAAGCGACCAAGTTTTATAGATTTTTTTTTTTTTTTTTTTGAAAGATTGGGCAGGATGCATCCTCCGCGATTCCGGCCGGGAACATATTCTGGTTCTTCTCCCAACATTGGCCAATGGAATTCCTACTGCACAGCCTCTTCTCCACCGCTTCTGGAACGGCATGCTCATGTTCTTTCTTGGGATCTGTGTATACCAGTCCGGACATCTTCTTCGGTTGTGCAGGCGAATTCGTGTGTTCGTCGTGATTCGACGCAATCTGCCGGTGAACTGTGAGCCCAGACACCTGCCCGAAGTAGGCAGAAATTTTCAGCTTATCAGTTTCGGAGACGCCGATTCTAGAGGGACATCTAATTCGGAGTTGCCTCACTGCCTTCAGCTCGGCTCTGTTGTTTGACGGGAAGCAGGAGAGTAATATCAGGTAAATATAGACTAGTATTTCTTCTAATAATCACGTGTGATAGGATATGTCTCCGCTTTTCACATGTCTATCTCAACTACGGTCCCAATACCAGACTTGCTAATTTTTAAAGCATGTTGGAGAAGGAAATAGACTGATTATTTATCTTATTATTATGTACTCTGTCCTTGGAGATAATCACGGCACTCCCCCAGATGCTATGGATATAGCCATTAAACACAAGTAATCTGGTGAGCCAGAGGAATAAAATGATGATACATGTTTCTTATAATTAATATCCAAATGGGAGTGCGGTTATGGTTTACTCAAGAAACCAAAAACATCACTGACCACTGCTATAGAATGATTTCTATACTACCAAAGATAATCCTGAATCTCTGCTGCATGGTCCCAATAAGATGGGACATCCTTGGCAAATATAGCTAATAAATGGATAATATAATCTGACATCTACTCTGCGCAAGTTGGCAAGAAATATAAGCAAAACTGTCCTCCAGCACCCAGAACACCTATCATTAACTATGATAATATAACTCTAACAAAACGGCCAAATCATGTATTATAATTCTAGCTACTAATAGCCTCTATCACAAGAGCAATTAGTAGGCATCTCCAGTCTATCCTCTTTTAATAATTATCCACTAACAAGAAAAATATCATACTACTCAGAATTCTAAGTAATAGCATGGAACAAATTAGCTCTCAAATATATTAGTAAGATGAAGTACTTATCAGCAAGTCTACAGCAAGTCTACAGCAAGGAAATATTCTCGCGGTGTATTTAAAATTAAGAGGGAAGTACAGACTTTTTATTTATTAACAAGCTCTGTTGGATACTAACTATATAGTGTTAAACTCTCAAAGGCTAGATTATACAGTAACATTATTATATAAATCAGCAGTTAATAAGAGAGATAAGCCAACTCACTGTATTTAGAAAGTATACTTACTCACTAACTTTCTGGTTATATAATTTCATCTCAGTAAGATTATACAATAGAAGCATCCTCTACAGTATCTATATAGACAGATTATGAGTATCAAGAGTGACGCAATGAAATCATTGACTCCACTTATTAAAGATTGGAAGAGGGATCAAACTTTTCTGATTACTATATAACAAATTTAGGTTTCTTCAAACCAGCACATTTTGCGGGAACAAATAAGCCTAAACCAACATGTAGGCCTGAGATATCTATGAACTCCAGCTAAAAAAATAAATAAGCTGATAAATAATCTAATATATAATTCTCTTCTGACTCTATTCCCCGCGCTGGATAGAGCCTCCTCTCCTGTTGAGTTACTTTTGCTTGATTATCAGCCGAGCAACTCTTTCGAAACGGGATAGAGGAAATAATAGCCGAATTACAATATCAGATTAAAGAATAATAAAGACTACGAGAAGTGGCAGAGCGCCGTGAGAAAAAGGAAAAAAAGATATAAAAAGATATTAAATATTAAGTATAATCTAACTTCCTGTTTTATTTTCTTGATCACTGTCACAGTTCTCTCTTTCAAGTAATCTGAGTTGAGGCAGATACTACTCTTACTACTTAGAATAACACGGCTGATCCAGTGAACTAACTTTACTCCAAATATATTATCCCTTAGCGTGACTTTTCCTAACTACAGGAATAGATCTGGGATAAATTTAACTATAATAATATTTTTATTATATATCTACTATTCCCCTCTAATACCCAAATCAATTATATCCTTATAAATATCTAGAACAGACTAATCTTTTCGGAAGCATCTCTTTGGAATTTTAAGCGAGATACAGTAGACAACTTTATTAAAAAGATTATTAAGATTTTGGGAGATAATAAACCCCTTTAAGATAAGTTTAGAATCCAAGACCAAGTCACCTTCTATAATCATGTAAACCCGTCAGAAACTATACTCGAGAACAGCCTAGAGTAAATGAATCTCAAGAATACACAGACACCCTAATAACCAGTAAACATAAGACTTGGAAAAGGCCCAGGATGAGAAAGAGAAACCATGCAGAGATAAACAAGGAATAATACTATGTAACAACATAATCAGCACGCTGACCAGTATTGCATGCACCTTGTAGCGGATGAACGGCAATACCTGGGTATGCAGTAGAGTTCGAAGTACTATATAAAATAACTATTCCTGAACTGGTAGCAGGTCTACACCCAATAGATCTGGATTATGATATCATTGACTAAGAGAGCAACACGTTTGGTTTCTATACTATCTATCTGATCATGGCCGTGGTCACTCAGATATTCTCATACATAATTAATAGTGGTGTTTAATACAGCTATATCTGTACTGGGAAGGCTTTTGTTTTCCTTTATATTCCAAAGAATGATCTTATCATTATTCAATATTTCTTGTGTATCCCGAATCAGGATGCGCAGGCGGATGTGCAGGTAGATGATAAAATATACCTCCACCGGACCGCTATCAGTTAGGTGCTTGCGTTCACGCTTCAAGCACTGGCCGTCAAACCTCCGACTCAGAGATGGTATGATATGGCACACGACCAGCTAATAACCTGGAAGGTCGAATATCTTAACATATTAAGAGAAATCCCCGAGACTCTCCGTAAAGACCTGCCGGCGTCTGATTATCAGCCCTCTCACTGGAAACCAGATCGGAAAGTACACAACACACGCGCTCACGCTTATTATCAACCAGGCGCATCTACACCGAAGCATTCGTCCACTGAAGACAACGGCAGTAAGCAATAATCGCATTTGCCATCTGCCGCAGCAGCGTCGCGCAGCCGACCGAGCCGCGACCTATGCAACAACCGAGGGGAAGGGAAAGAATACGCGCCGGCAGGGCAATAGAAAGACTTCTCGAAAAGACGGGCATTCTACACAATCACACTGCACAACTGCCTGCATCTGCGGCTTGTTCGACCGAGAATCTCTGGATATAAAGTACCCCGACTGGAAACCCCACAGCAGCCAGAGACACTCCATCGGACCGCAGGAGTTGACACACACCATGTCAACTTGCCTGAGATCGAGTCTTTGGAATCGAACAGTTGCAGACGTGTGGTCGGCCAGGATACTGATATCTTATCAAAGTCACCCTTCTTTCCCGCGGATACACGGTGATCATAAGAGATGTGCCTGTGGAGAAGCCGCATCACCTTCAAGCAGAAGTAGATAATTATCACTATATTAGAAACTTACAGAACAACACATCCCTGTGTGTCTTAGGAATTTTAAGCCTTACATTGTATATTAGTACCACGGCAAGCTAATAGCGCAGATAATGATCTTGAGCTAGTCTGGAATATGGCTTCAGCATGCTATTCATAATAGGAATTCCCGCTTCTTTTACCAAGAGCATGACAGAGCTCTGACTGTGCTCCGGTCGTGTGGAGTTATCCACTGCGACAGTAAATAATATAATATACTATGGAATAACCTGAGTGGCCGCTTGGTTGTCATTGACCTGGAGAATATAAAATAATTAAAGTATGCTAGGGCCCTTGAATCTGTCTCTACAAATACATAGCAAAGTCATTGCGGCAGAGTGATAAAATATAAACCCGGCTTAGAAAGAGTAGATATTCTGCAATATAGCAGTATCTTAAATTTGTAACAATATATTCGGAAATATTGCAAAGCATTCTGCCACAAGATGTTATGGCTTTAACTTACACTGAGTACTAAATACACATTTTACAACACAAATCTATATATATTATAAGAGCGCGACTGCCCAGCAGGCTTAAATAGCAGAATTATCTACATAATCTTCCCAGGCTTTACAACTAGAGATACATTCCATTAACTATCCCCCATTAACCAGACTCCTCTGAAATCTTTATTCAATTTCACAGCTAGCTCAAGTACTTAGAGATCACTTGGTTGGCATCCGCCTTAGCAAAAGCATGTACGATAACCACGATATTTTTGATCTGGCTCAAGTTAGTAAGTGAGAGATAAACAGCAGCGCTCTAATACCCACCCCACATCCATTTAGAGCCAAAGACTATAATTATCAAAGGTTATTCCTCACCACAACAGGTCCTTGCGTTGTACATGCCCTGGACAGAAACATTGACCAGAGATCTCTGCGAACTGACTCGTTAAATTCTCATAGTCAATAGTCAAATAGATCTAGGCAAGAATTACATCTCCAAACTAGATACCCTGATTCAATATCAAGGAAATACCTCCTACCATTACAGCTTCCAGAAGAAGATGGTCACAAAGAGATTTTAAGTATTATAATAAGATATACATTATTCCATGAACATAGCAATCTCATCCAAGCAAAATATACTATCAAAATGTTTATTAATCTTAAATACTGCTTCAAGCTGTTGCTCAAGCGCATTCAAATCACCGTGGTCGAATTAGCATTTCCATCAATTACATTGTCGAACGGTACCGTTGGTATCAGACCCAGGGTGATTTTCGCCAATGACAAGAGCAAGATCTTAGTTTCTGGAGAGAACTAAAAACAGTTAAATAATTCAAGTATTCAGTGAGCAAGCAGTATCACTGCTGTAAAATTACACAGTCCTAGCTATTCATATTCTCCACATATTGGTCGAGCTCTGCGAGGAAACGAAGGATAACATATTACTTAATCTAAAAATATTCCAGACTCCAGCAGGACCACTAAATAAAGGCTTTCCAAAGAATCTAGTACACTACCCTCATCTTCGCCTCTCCTGATAGTATCAAACTGTAGAATAGAAATCATCTTCTGGTAAGTTCCTCCCATGATCGCACCCATGCTTCAGGCGTAGGCGATCATTGACAACATTAGCAGGTATATTAGCCAAGATCCTACATACAAAAAGTGCTAGCCGACAGAATACTTATCTAGTTTACAAACTATTTAAGGTAAAAAATCTACTGGACAGTTCTTCAGCTTTGCATCACACGTCGCCCAAGCAGTAGCATCTACATACAGCATGCAGGATCTGCGTCCGAAGGAGGTCAAGTGAAAGCATACTCAGGCTGTTAAGGCTCAACTATAGTCTTTATATACACGCACTGAAGCCAATATTGGGTTCAATAACATTTCCGCTATCCATTACAGGATACACTTCTTTCCACGGACCTTGACATTAATATTGAGAGTGGCCAATTCATCACCTATTATCAATCCATCCGGCTGCGGAAAGACAACTGTGATATCTTACTAGAGAGATTCTACAATCCTTACCAACCGATAGTCCTTATCAACAAAACCACGACTCTTCTAAAGAACCATCCGCAACAATATATCCCTCGGACTCGGTAATTCTGAGTTCACCGAGATCAATCTGATTCAAGCGTGCGAGGACACAGATATTCACGATCCCATTACCTGCCTCCCGGATGGATAGTCGACCTATCGGGCATCAAGGCTCAATCATTCCTTAGTGAAAGACAACGACAACGCCCTGGCTTTATACAGACATTAGTACGCAGACCATTCCTCTACTTGATGAAGCGACATCAAATCTTTACTTGTAGTCCCGAAAAAAAGGTACAGGCAGTACTCAGGCGCTTGGCAACGAAGAGATGTATGACAATTGTGGCAATTACGCATATACTGGCTACTATACCGAAAGCGGACACGGCATTTGTCTTTGGTGGAAGCCAGAGCAGATATGGGCTCAGGTCGTAGAGCAGGAAAGTCATCAGGAACTGCTGCAGGATAACGAGATGTGTTTGGCAGACGGTGAGTATTGATTTTCTAGTCAGTGGCTTACTGATTAGTTTCCAGTGTCAGGACAATGTGCTCGATCGATTATTGTACACTACGTGATTTCATTCCGTATAGGTGTCAGTGTGTTCATAGAATCTGTCTATTAGAAGTTGCTTCATCATACATACAATATCATGGATTGATAGGCAGATAAAGGAACCTCCCCTCCTTTCTTATCTATGCTCTGCCATTAAAATCCGGACGAGCCTCAGAGGCATACAACACGTCTCATTAGTCCATCTGCTATCTAGAGCCAACCTCTACTTCCCATTGTTCCTAGTCAGCTGCACACAGTTTTCTTGAAACACCACAAAACTCAGTGCTTACTTGCTCATTTTCAGCTGTTGGTAAAGTCTCGTCATCTCACTAGCCCGCACCGTTAGGCCTGTACGCGAAAATTCCCCATATATCTATATAGGTTGCCAGCATCAGAAACAGGAAAGAGAAGGCGAAAAGAGCCCCATGGTAACCCATACCAATCGCACAAGGGACCCTTCGATCCCTTTTATTCCTGCTTAGTCACCCTCGACTGTGAGACAGACTGGGTCTCTTGCAATGATTCCATTATCGTCGGCAGAAACAATAAAAGAGAGGCCATTGGCCGGCGCTCACGTTCTGATCGCGAAGGCACAAACCCAGAGGTGCTCCCGGTAATCCCTCCTCTTTGCCTTAAACACTGATCGGTGATAGTCCGCCGGCTACTATTCCGGACTCGAGTTTGCTGGGGCCCACGCTGTTGTTGTTCGTTCTGGCTTCCTTCATCCTGCTTTATGGCTGGATGCTGCTCATCCTGGTGCTGAACCCTTCCCGAGACGTCATTTGTTTGCATCGATTGCGATCCACCATTGCTCGGTGTTGGCTGAGTTGCTTGGTTCGGGTCTCCCTAGTAGTGATTTTGACGGGACGCTCGAATGTGGTTGGATTGTAACGACTTCGACACCCTATGATACGGTACTCGCTGACTGACGTGATTCTGTTCTCCTTCATGGTGAGCCTGTCTCGCCCGCGGCACGTGTACCACATGGTCCGTTTGTGCCACGTCAGACACCCTATCCTGCGCTGACTGGACAGCGGGGTTTTGCTGTTGGGATTCTGCTTGGGTCTGCCCAGAGTGGACGGAGTCCGCACCCGGCGTTCCACCCGACGACATGTGGGCCCCAACCTGGGATTTCCGTTTCTCGAGACTATTTACGCGTTGCAGTAGAGCCTGCTGCTGCTGGTACGTAAGACCAGCCATTTTTCGGATCTCCGTTTGGAATAATTCTTCCTGCTGTCTTCTAGCCGTCGGGGAAAACTGCTGTTGGGCGATTGCATTTTGAACAGCTACCGCTCTGTGGTGCCAAGGCTTGCTGTGATATCCAAGGCCGCTGCGGCCCTAAAGCTCGCTGTTGGAGCTGGAAAGGGCTGCGCTGGATGCGCTAGTTCGAATCTCTTTGACAAATGGGACAAGCAACCAGCTGGTCTCCGGGGAATCGCGATAAAGAAGATTGCTGACATCCGGGGCAAATGTATGTCCAGGAGGTGGTTAACGCTTGGAAATTGGCATACATTTTCGCAAAATTGTGGAGGATGATTGCTAGAGACTCGACTGGAATGATGAAGTAGTGATAGGATGGTTGGGAGAACGCCCCTCATAAGTGGTGTGGTCGTTGATCTGACTTACATGCATTTGAAAGGTGGATATGATGTTTTACTCTAAAGTCTTGAATTCGCTGAGCGGACGCTTTGATGGGCCTATGACAATCTCTTCCGTGGAGTCAGTGGGGAGGCTAGATTGATGGTGCAAAGACCGGACGATACAAGGATGTTCCGCATCGCTGGCTTGTTGCTGGAGCTGACCTACCCGGATGGCATTGAAAGTCTGTTCAACACATCTGTTCAACGCACCTGCTTGAAACAGCGGTTTTGATATCTACCTGCACTACTAACAATTTTGGTTGGGCTGGAGCGGCCATTTTTAGCGTTATTTGCGGCTGAAAATGGCAGCTCCAGCCCTTTGGCTGACTCCATCGCCGTGCAGATAACATGACCCATGGTCGCTCGGCCCCATGCTGTAGTGCCATCCGGATGATGCTTGTTACGGGCCCCTGCTAATTAACCTGCTAAGGTGATGCGGACACGCCAGGCAGAATGCGCCGATAACGACCACGCCGGTTCAAATGAACGTAGATGGCATCCCAAGGCATTCTAGAAACTAGCTCAATAGCAGCTACTCTTTTCGGGTCAAACATTAATCCCCATATTTCCTCTGTAAATTTTGCATAATAGATACAGCTCCCGATCGATGTCCGGCTCCAAATATCTCATGGTGGTTCAGATGACAGTATCTTACTCTAGTTTCGGTAGAGCTACGGGTTACTGAAGAGGCGCCCGGAGCGGCTACACATCACGTGATCCTATACCATTCTTACTACCATCAGAGAGTATACGCCCGAGTATACGGGATGCTGCACAATGATTGGATATACCTCAGGCTACCTCAAGGAGTATACGGAAAGGTATACGGTCACGGGATATAGAGCATTGTTTTACGGTCGGCGTTTTTGGTGATGAGGGTGGTGGGAACGTAAGGTTCAGCTCGTTTGGTCGCTGCGATTAGTAGGAGTTTAGAGAACAGGGGCATGAGTCGGTCGTGGAACATAAGTGGATGAAGGTTGTTTGGGCCATTGGTATTTTTTTGCGTGTTAGGTTTCTGGGATGGATGCTTGTTTTTGTTCGGTAGCGGCTTGGGTTAGAGTGACAGCAGCATTTTGGCGTGCAACCATGACGCGCAGTTCCGCGGGCGAAGAATCCGATCCCCGTCGGTGTACTCCTCGTCAGGGTCGTGAGAACCCAAATTTGGCTAGACGCAGGGGTGGGGTGGAATAACCGGATGGGGCTAGTTCTTTCAGGTGAGCAATCGGTACTGAGTTATAGACAGGTTCGCGGGGATGCATGCAAAGTTGTTCGGGACGTTGGAGGGCTACTGTGATGAGGAGGAACGGGTTTTGGTGGTCATGGGATGGTTGACACGTGCGTGAGCCGGGTGCGGATGGTCTGAGGTGAGTATCGAGAATGTGTTGCAATCACGGCTTGGCGTTTTATCATTACCCTTTGCCTTCCGCCTTTGGTTGTCACCATATTGGTTCTCTCCCCCGGGTGTCTAGACCCCCCTGATACTTAGGATAGGCATGTGACTGGTCTGCACGAAAAGGCCACGCCGTCAGAACGACGTGACGTTAATCGTAATATTTTATAATGCAACAATGGTCTCGCCTAAGGCCCCTCGCATTGTGCCATGTGCCTCTCCAGCCCTGGTCATAATATGTATCTTGCCTTTGTAGGTTGTACCGCAACAACTTTTAGCTCCCATATTGTAATATGCATCTATACACCCACCAAGGACCTCGGTAACTCGCTCTTACTATTTATTGGGATCATGAGCATGTTTTCACCAACATCTCATAAGCTGTACTGGCGATGTACTCCGGTTGACCCCGGTAATTTTGTTAGTATGGTGGAGAGGTGCAGGGGGTTGAATCCTTCCAGCGGTGAGTCTGATAGTTAACACCGCCTGCCTAATATAGCCACGCGTTGAGTTGAAGTTGAAGCCCACGAACACGAAAAATATGATGCATTCTGCTAATTCTTGGTGTTTCAAAGATGCCTTCCACTCCTGGACCTACCTCTCCGAAATCAACGAATTCAAAAAGTCTAGATCGTGATGATCGTATCCGTGTTCTTACTCTTTGTGATGCTGGTTTTACCTATCAATAAATAGTTAATCAGCTACAGATTAGCTATCGTCAAGTTCGATATACGTGTCAAAATCAACAAGCTACACCTCGAAAAGCAAAAGGCAACTCATCAAAGCTCTCGGATGAAGTAGTTGATCATATTATACAATGGATATCAAGTTCAAAGCGTACGCGTCGGCTGCCATATTATCGTGTTATTGAAGAGCTTCAACTTTCTGTTGGAGTAACAGCTTTAACACGTTCTTTGAAAAAGCGAGGCTATACACGTTGTAAAGCGCTCCGAAAGCCACCTCTTACATCAGCAAATAAACAAGCAAGGTTAGCCTGGGCTTTTGAACATCTATACTGGACACGAGATCAATGGAATCGAATACTCTGGACTGATAAAACCTGTGTAACTTCAGGCTTTCATAAACGGATATATGTGACTCGCAAAGCTGGTGAAGAACTTGATGAGACCTGCCTCCGTACAAATCCACCACGTAAACGTCGTTGGATGTTTTGGGCATCTTTCTACAGCAATTCTAAAGGGCCATGTCTCTTTTAGGAGAAAGAATAGGGGACTATTTATACTGAAGGTTATATTGACCGCATCGTTCCTATTATTAATGGTTTCGTACCCTTGGTTGAATGCAACGAACATCAACGACTTCAGTTAATGCAAGATAATGCTCCTGGTCATGCAAGTAGGGCCACTATTCAAGAGTTTAATGAGCGTGGGATCTTTCCAATTGTTTGGCCAGCTTTCTCACCAGATCTTAACCCAATTGATGCTGTTTGGAAAAGAGTTCAGGAGTTGGCTGTCGCCCGAGATAGATCGAAGATCTAAGCGTGATTTGCATCACGCATATAGTTCATGACTCTACCATCAAAATAAGCTTTCACTATCGATCTGCAATTATAGTCCCATCTGTAGCGGCAGAATGTGCAAAACCCGGATGTCAGATGCTATAGTAGCATATATTGCTATCTTACGACGTAAGTGATAGACCACGTGGAATGTTCGACTACCAAGTAGGCTAATTTAGGGCCATGCTAAATGAGTTGGCTGACAGATAAAGTGTTTGAACGTTGACTGTGGATCGACATCGATGGCAAAGATCCACCAGAGGGTTTATTGTTGTTTCTTTTGATGGATATACGAGCCCCAAGCCCCAAAGACACGCGCGCGGCATAGCTTAGAAGTGTATGCAGTGTTTCCAGAGGACAGGAACAATGAGGGAGACCCTGAAAACACTGTAACGCCATATTCTGGTCAGGATACTCGATGGATCGGACGCTAGCCACGATCCTCGCCCCCTAACCGTCAGAGATAAGGCCATTGATCAGTCATTTCCAGGCCTTGACGGAAGAGATGAAGTCGAAGAAGCAGCAACACAGTGCTATTGTGCAAGTATTACGTTGGAAATGAACAGGCAATTCTCCGAGCGAATCCCCTCGGGATTTCTGGCATGTATTATTCCCTACGGTTTGACCTGATAATCGCTGAGATCAAACTTATGATTTACCGCGTGTCTTGCTCACTACATTGTTCTCCCTAGCCACCAATAATTCCTGCCTGGCAACAGGAGCCATACCAAGCCTACAAGGACCTTGCTGAGGTCCAGACTCAGCAGGGAGGCCGTCCGCTGTGTGGTCCTAGCCCACTATCTGGAACAACCGTGCAGCGGTTAGAGATCAGATTCCAAAGTACTAACAATTAAGGCGCCAACTGATGGTCCCCCATCATAAAAAAAAAAAAACAAATTCAACCAAAGAAGTTTGAGCATCAAAAGGAAAGCAATTCAAAAGAACAAGAAAAAAGAAAGAAAGAAAGAAAGGAGGCAAATGAATGGTCCGAAAGACTAGAGCCGCTACTGCATACTCTCCAAACTCTAGCCTTAAAGCACAAAGATCAGCCTACCAGAGAGACTAGATATCAAACCACGATGTAATTAATTCTATCTGATCTTTGCTACTAATCAGCATAGAGTCCCATCTGTCTCCGAGCTGCTGAGTGATTTCCGTCTTGTTAGTTACCAGCCATTATACTAAACTATCGCCATTCGGATTTCCGGTCTTTAGGAAGTTTCCTAATATGCATTTATTGTAGCAGCGATCTGGTGGTTTGCGCTTGTCCAGGACTTGTCCGTTCCGTACAGGTTATTGAGAATATAATTGATTTCAGATTCACGGTAAGCACCCTGGTCCTGACCCGGAGGTGCATGATTCTATAGGTAAGTCCACACGGGGCTGGAAGCATTCGTGCGCTATAAATAAGCCCAAATCCAAGTTCCAATTATAGAACGGTCTGTAAACTGCAGGTTCTTTGTATTATAATCCAAGAAGTGTGGCCTCTATCCCCACCGGGTGGTATACCGCCTGGCAGAGGGGGATACGGCTCTTCGGTATTGTATGGATTCTTGATCTGGAGAATGGCAAAGGATGTTGCACGGACTAATGGGGGAAGATAGTCTATAGACTAACCTAGATAGTGCCCCTGTTACGGTTCTTATGTTCGACTATTACTGATTTAAAATAAAATTATCCGGTGATATTTTAGAAAGTATTCTATTAGCTGGCATATAACTTTCTCTGGTCTAGAATCGCGATGGGAAAATTAGAAGCTTATATAAGAGGATTGGCTACTGGCTAAAGTAACTATATCTATCATGGCTTGCGCATGGCCGCAGCATAACCTAATTGGATCTAAATCCTGTTGCCAGATATCAGATCCAGGGGATACCAAGTTAAGCTAAGCTGAACTATTTAATCCT